TGCACTTTTGACGAAGTGGTTTGATGTTCATCATGTCTGCTTTTCTCCACCATCAGGGCGATATCAGCTTTGATCTACAATGTGCTCAAAGCATTCATGGAGATGAACAGCGCCTTGTTTGACGAACTTGCCGCCAATTACAAATCAGACAGGCAAAGGTAAGAAACAAACAATGCAGTGTTGTAAACTCCTGCAGTTTACAGAGCGGCTCAGTTAACCTCTACCTATCTTTCCTTCAGGGAAAGGAAGAAGGACAAGGAGCGTGAGGACCTATGGAGGAAGCTGGAGGAGCTGGAGCTCAGACGGGGCATCCAGAACAGCGACGGCGTCATTCCCACCTAACACGGACCTCGTTTCCACCCTTCTGTGTGGCCCCAACAATCCCTTTTTACTCTGCCACAGGGACCCCGTCCCCTATTTGCTTCTCATGCTGCGTACTTTACTGCACACTCCCTCGTTCATTTCCTCCCTTTCAACAGCACTGTAAATAATCCTCTCCCTCTTTCCTGTATCATACTGCTACACTGAAAGGAAGAAGAAAAAACAGAAAATTTGAAGAGAGACTTAATGTGCACTCCTTGTTGTAAAAAATATGGTAAAATGATAATCAACTATGGTCAAAGGATATATTTTAAAAAACCTTTTCAGTTCAGAAATTGTTCAGCGTCTCCATGTCAGTATATTGTTCTCAAGGAAGTGCCCTGGGACATAGGGATCTGTGCTCACCCTGCAATTAAAGATGTCTTATGTGAGGATCCCGTGGCCACCACGTCTTTTTTTTTGTTGTCCCTTATGAAGAGAGACTTTTCCATCTAGACATAATTTGACTCCCCTGACTCAGGGGACACAAACCAGAAACCCATGACGTGAATATAAGGAAAACAGGAGTGGAGAGAAAAAAACAAACATTGAACATCCTCTCTGTGGTGTGCATTTTTTTTCTTTTACAGGATGATCGGTCCAGTCCTTTACTGTACAGTATGGACAGGTATCCATAACGGTGCGAAGTGGGCCGCAGTCGGCTACGGTGGTTATCTTCGTTCAATAAAGAGGACAAACCTCTCCGAGGACCTTTATTTTTTTAACTTGTGAACCAGGTAATGATCTGGTCATAGTTTCATGCTGTCTGCTGTGGAGACTCTTGGGAATTCCAATGTGGAAATTCAGTAGTTACCAAGAGTACGTCAAGCTCGGTTTCTCCGACACTAGCAAGGACTCGTTTCAGTGGCACGCAGTGTTCAGAGCTCATCCAGTGTTTTTAAAACCGTTAAGTGATATATATTTTTCGTAAAGAATATTCTGGACTGCTTCTCATGGGCCGCCCAGATTTCCACTGCTCGGCTCTGTTCGTTTTGATTTCAGGGTGGGTGGATGTCGTCTACATGACCGAGCTGAGCGAGACAAGGTTTTTCTTTCTTTTCATGGAGTGTTTGAAATGAAATCCTGCTTATGGGGTGGTTTTTAGGGCCTATGTAGGTAAACGCTGATCCGGTAGGTCATAATCTCTTCTGAAATACCAGCCGCCAGGGCAGGTTAGAACTAAAAAGCACTTTGAGTTCTAGCTCATTAGTTGTTCTCGTGGGACTTCAGCCCCTTCTCTTCTTTTATTTGAAGTCTCAACAATCGTGGTTGTGGATTTTACATGTGAGGAGGATGTATTTTATTATATTTTATTTTTTTGGCTTAATCACGTGTCTCTCTTTCTCTCTTCCTTGTTTTAACTCTCCCAAGCTCATTGTGTGTTTTATTATGGCCCAAGTTTGATATGTAAAAAAAATTCAAAAGAAAGGGTTTGATGAATAGAATAAATCTAATTATTTTAAAAAGAAAGAGATATGAAATAAATCTGTTTTTTTGGTGATAAACCTGCCTGCTTTGTTGTTCTTAATTGCTTTTGTAAGTTTCAGTGTAATATTTTTTTTCAGAACTACATCTGTATCAGTTTGATCTGATTAACCCATGAGGCGTTAGTGTCATCTTTGCCTATTATTATTATTAGAGTATACAAAAGTAGTTTGATCGAGAAAATAGGAAGGCTTAGGTTAAATTAATAAGAGCATTAATGTGCTGTTTAAATCCAGTAGGTGGCAGAAGGCTCATTCCAACTCAGATGAGTGATACAGGGGAATGAATTTATTACAGCAATGAGAGGGACAGTGTTTTTTTGTTTTTTTTAAAGCAAATGATACAAAATAAGCTTTCACTGTTGCACAAAAATTGGCTTGATATATTTATATGTATTATTTCATCTATTTAATATGGTGAATAAATAGGAGTATGGTAGTTGGTAGTCTTGGTAATAATTAGTCTTAAAGATTTGATATTTTCTGTTGTCATTTACTCACCCTTATGTCATTCCAAACCTGTATGAATTTATTTTTTCTGTTGAACACAAAAGAAGATATTTGGGGTAATCAAACAGTTGACGGTAGGCATTGATTTCCATGGTATGGAAAAAAAATCATATGAAAGTCAATGGATACCAACAACTTTGATTACCCAAAACATCTTATTTTGTGTTAAACAGAAGAAAGAAATTCATACAGGTTTGGAATGTCATTTTAGGGTGAGTAAATTATGACAATTTTAATTTTTAGGTGTTAAAAGACAAAATCAAGCTTGACTACAGAAACTGTACACAATGCATTGCATACGTGAAAAAATCTTAATTTGTCGGATGTGAGGGACCCATTTATAATTGTAATGCTTTCATCTTGTACTTGTGGCTAAGCACAGTCTATAAATGCCAGTGATTTACATTAGGATGACCAGACGTCCTGGTTTTTGGTGTCCTGTCTCACCGTTTTACAGCAAGTTTAAAACAGACAAGTACACTGCAAGTCTGCAACAAGCAAACGTGTAGTGATTATTTTCACCAACAGAGGGCGCTGAAAACTACACTGATGGTTGCTTGGTCTCGCCGCTTCTTCAGCCATGACGAACATAGCCTGGAGGAGAGTAGAGCACTGTTATCAAGTATCAAAAGAGACACGATTGCCGTAATAGTTAGCTATTACTAACTATTCATGGTGAATTTAAGTACTGTTTGTATGTAATGTATGTAACAGGGTGGGACATTGTTTTGCACACAATTTTAAAAGTTAACGTTACCAAAGCCAAAGGTTCACAAACACACCTGTTAAGTAGCCATGAAGACCAAAGATGTTGTTCTTATGTGGAGAGGTCAACTTCAGCACTTCATTTTTCTACGCGGAAGTAAGCTATTTAATTTGAATGAGCGAGATTTCCTATTTATTAGCTGCTTTAGATAGATAACTAGAAGTGGAGTAAACGGTAAAACTATCTGCGCTACCAAGCAGTGTGTTTATGATTACTTTAATACATTAAAATAATATTACAACAATATAAACTAGCACAACGGACTGTTTTGTACAGGTAAAATAACAGGACCTGGATGTCACCGGAAGCATTTCACCTTTTAGTTGCAAATAGCCTTGACATTGAAAAAAGACATAAATCCAGAACGAATATTTAACGGCAAGCAATATTAGCCGATAGGATGTTGCTTCACAAAAGCAGTTTTTGGCATGACAGTGGACCGCAGGTATTGGAAAAACTTGAGTACTTTCATGAATGAATATTTCAAAGACAATTCTAAAGTTTTATCACAAGCTTTAATCACTCTGTGTGTATTTACAACACATTTTTAGTTTTGGCAAATAAAGCTGTCATGTTTCTTAAGCATATAAATCAATACATGAAATTTAAAGGAAAAAAACCCCATTAAAAATATTAAATATAAGTTTACAGTTGAGTTCAAGACTGAGTTCAAGTTATAGCTCTTTCAACCAGCGACTGAAAACTGGTCTTCTCATTAGCATTACAGTATATACACTACTGCATAGGACAATGCAAGGCACAGTGCACTTAAACTGAGTGAAGAAACAAACTCTATGCTACATTAAAGGCAAGTGAATGACGGCTCATTCTTCCTCTCTGTGGAGCAGGCTTGATTCCTCAGCCCGAGGATGGTCTCTAGCACCTTGCGGGCTCCGGAAAGAAGTCCCTGAGGTCAAACTAAGGAACGACTGATGTGAAGAGCAATCAGAAGTAATCAGTACCAGTTCTAGTGTCCATAACATGGTGGTCTGAGAACTACAAGTACTCACAGGACAGCTTTTGGTAAGTGAATATGGATGCTTGAACTGTTGGTTAACCTATACATTGTTCAACACGTCCAAAACAAAAGGGCTACACATAATATTTTCCATATTATTTGACACTTGTACCAAAACACAGTAGGGACTTTGAAAAGGCCACATATTTAGGGTGGGACTGCTGAGAGTCATGATCAGCGGTGCAGTTTACAGCATGACCACACAACATGCCTGAGGAAAAAAAAAAAACAAGTCTGAAGAACAAAGCCATTTGTGTTGAGCTGATCTTTAAAAGGGAAAATGAGGGGGTGGCTTCAGTCAGAGGCAAAACTGAGCAGTTAGAAAATGTATAAGCCTGGTCCGCAGTAAATACACGAGTACTTCAGCTGAAATAGAGAGTGATAGGGTGATAGTGATTTTTTTTTTCACAGTGTCGGATCACTTAGAGGACTATGAGTGCCACTTAAAAATTAAATCAAAATAATAATAAAATATATAAATTAAAATGACAATATAAAGGAAAATGACCTTTCACTTTTAAAAAAGTAGACCTTTTACATTTAATTAATGTTTAAAATGTTAAATCATCTCAATAATACAGTGCTGCAGGGATGATGTATTTTTGTTGGCAAATGCTGAACAGGTTTTTGTTTTAATGCCTCAAATAGGTCTGCGGTGAACACAAGCTCAAAATATTTTCCTGTGCTATTCTACGACACACAATACACCAGTAATACCCCCTCGTGACATTTTTAAAGCTTTTACTTGTCTTGAAAATGGCAGTTGCTAACAAGTGGCTAAATGAGACTACAGAGGCTTTCGGGGACATTAGGCACCATCACGCTAAACAGGAAAACATGTCTACTCAATAGTCTGCTTTTACAGCCTCGATGTGCTTAAAATCGCACTCTTGGAAACTATTCTAACTCAAACTTTCAGGGAAAATGTCACAGTTGTAAACTTCCATGAGGGGGTTTGAAGTCACAACGGTTTTGTTTCCAGACGGACCATTAAAGAATGTGGAAATCCTGTAGAATTTAACCAATCGGATGACGACTTGAAGAACTCCCAAAGTGTTTCCCATTTTGTGCGCCTTATTCATCGGACATTCAGACAACATTCCATGAATGTGATGTCTGAGGCTGAGACTAGAGTAATGTTAACTTCCAGGTTAGATTGCATTTAAAATGATTTATATTATTTGTTACATTTAACTACATTTTTTAACATGAATGAAATAAACTGTTTAAAATATGTCATAATTTGAAACATGATTCATCTAAGATTTATCTATCTATCGATTTTAATTTTTGAATTAATACATAGGTGATTGATTTCTTCAGTTTATTTTAAGTGGCACGTACAGTCCTCCATACTTTTAGTCCTCCATCGGCTCATTTTTAATAGAGGAAAATGAGAGCATTTTTTTAAATGTGTGTAGGCAGAGTCATTTGAGAAGACAAAATACAGGCCCCTTCAAATATCAGAATGTAAATGCGTATGATAAATATAACAATTACAGCACCATTTTATGGCATCATTGTTCTACACCTACACTGTATAAAGATAAAGGTCTGATGGCTCACAGAAACGTGACTAAGTACACTTCAGGGCATCTCAGTTTTAAAAACACAAGGAAATATAAATGATTTATGGGATAATGTTGTCACGAGATACATTTTCCCTTTATCTTCACACAGTGTGCTTGATTGTCACTCTTTTTGCTGGATAACATTATTTTACGTATCTTTGAATGTATAGTACTGTAGCGGTTTATTATCAGTATTATTAATTTTAAATGACCCAAGGAAGATGCATTCCTTACTCTCATCTCTCTCTCTTTGCGTCTGCTCTACCTCTATTGATGAGTTGGCCATCCTCCAGAGAATTTCCCTTATTAACTAGCTCGAACTGCTGAAGCATTGACTCCAGAAAGAGCGCAATATTGATTTGAGGTGACTGAGAGAAAACCAGCTTGTACGGAGGAATGGATTTTCATTTTTTCATAAGCCTCGAGAAACCATATAATATAGCCGGTTTAAAAAAAATCCAATGGCTCAGAGTTGAATCTGAAATGTTGGATTGGAGATTGGCGATGTCGCGCCACCTTGGTTCAAGAAACCGCAGTCCTGTCTGAGACTTCTTTGGCTTGAGAAGCGAATCCCGTAAGGCAACGTGGGGGAAAAATTAAGGCACTTGTTTTGGACAGTGTAGCTCTCCACAAGACATACACACCGAGGGCAAGACCGCTCATTGTCCTGAGGGACAACAGGCGGATGGAGAAAGGAAGGATGTACAGCAGACTGGAGGCAGTTTAGGGTCTGTTACTCTGCCCAAAGCTTTGGAGGAGAGTGGGTGTTCACAGTTGGAGATGTTTTATCCTCACACGATAGCACAACAGCTCCTGCAGGCTGCGCAGCCCCGTTTTTGTTTCTTTGGGCTGAAGATTGTCAGGATGGCCTCATCAAATACTGTCTTTAGTCCCTTCTGAGTCAGTGCCGAACACTCCAGATAGCACTGGGCTCCAATCTGTGGACGTCAATATACAATTTTGAAACAAAACACTCAGCTTTAGGTTAAAGAGACAGGAAACCACAAAAGGATAGGTTTAGCAGAATGTCTGAGCTGCTAGTTTCCATATAAAGAAAATTGATAGTGACCATAGATTGTCGAGATCCTACAGAAGGAAATTGAAAATTTACCTTGAAAATCATGCTTGACAGTTGTGGTCAGCATTCATTCTCATTGAATGCAAAAGAGTAGCTCAAACACTGTTAAACATCTTTCTTTGTGTTCCACAGAAGAAAGTCAGTCATATGGGATGACATACTTGGAACAACATGAGGATGAGACAGAATTTGTATTAATCCTTTCAGTGCTTTGTAACACAGTGGTGAAAGTTTATGAATCATGCTTTCTATTTTTTGATACCTGGACAGATCAAGAATAAAACAACTGCAATTTAAGCCAAACCACCAAACATATGAACACCCATCACCTCTCTGGCTAGTTTGAGGCCTTGCTCATAGGTCAGTGGCTTCTCCTTCATCTGGAGCAGACGTGCCAGTGTCTTTGGGTCATCTCGCAAGTCAATCTTCAATAGAAATAGTAAAAAATAGAAAAACAATCCAATAAATAAATTGTTGAACATTTTATTTTTTTTGTTTTTATTTTCCATAAATATTCATATTTTGACTTTGATCTGTTTGAGCTTCATCTGATAATAGAAAATAATAATAACTATTATTATTACTATTATTAATAATATTAATGCTTTATCTGATAATAAAATACAGCAACAATAATAAATTATCAGTTAACAGTAATTAATACATTTTCTGATAATAAACTAATAAAATAAATAAACCGGGGCAAGTCGTGGCCTAATGAAAGATAGAGAGTCGGACTTGTAACCCGAAGGTCGCGGGTTCGAGTCTCAGGTCAGGCAGGGATTGTAGGTGGAGGGAGTGAATAACCAGCGCTCTCTCCACCTTCAATACCACGACTGAGGTGAGACCCTTGAGCAAGGCACTGAACCCCCAACTGCTCCCCAGCTCCCATTGGCTGCCCTCTGCTCTGGGTGTGTGTTCACGGTGTGTGTGTTCACTACTGTGTGTGTGCACTTGGATGGGTTAAATGCAGAGCACACATTCCGAGTATGGGTCACCATACTTGGCCACACATCACATCACTTCACTTCACTCACTCACTTATAATAACAAAGCTAATAATAGTTATTATTATTATGAAATCACATTACTGTCTGAACTAAAAAACTCCTGCACCTGTGTCCCGATGAGGATGTAGGGCACATGAGGCATGCAGGATTTGAGCTCAGATACCCATTCCTCCTGCACATTGTGATAGGAAGCTGGATTCACGACAGAGAAGCAGATGAGAAAGACGTCTGTGTTGGGGTAGGAGAGGGGCCGCAGCTGGTTGTAATCCTCCTATATGACGACGAGTAAAGTAAGGCCTGCTTTAGACTCAGTTCATCTCTCTTACAACTGAAATATGTTTCAAAAGATCTTTTTGAAAAACAAAATATAAGTCAAAGAGTGCAGATGATTAATTTAAAGGTTAAAGATTCATTTAAAGCTTTTTTGTCCAACATACCCCCATCAGTTGCGCTCAGTTTACATAATTGTATAAATGTACACATTTGCAAACCAACAGACTTTGAATTAAGGACTTTCTTTAAAGTGTGCATATTCATTGTGATATAATAATGCAAACATGTCTCGGGACATATAGCTGTAGAAAGCACAGTCTGAGCGGTAATAACAAATATTTTAATTGTTGATTGGTGTTATTTTCAGATATTAAGATACTTCAACACCACACCAGAAATGTGTTTCTTTTGACTATTATTATTCTGAATACCTTTCAGCAATTATGAATCAGTTTATTAAAGTGCCTGGGTGAGAGAGGCCAATTTGATTGTTCCTTTAATGAGACACTTTAGCTTGACAGTTCAGGAGGATATCATGGAGAAGTGTTCTTGAAAAAGATCATTACATTTATAATCATGCTACCATTCAAAAATGTGGGGTCAGTTTTTTTTTTTTTTTTGGAAAGAAGATATTACTTTTATTCAACAAGGATGTCAAAATTGGTAGTAAACATTTACAATGTTACAATATATTTATATTTCAAATTAAACTTTCTGTTCATCAAAAACATCCTGAAAAAAAATGTAATGACAAAAATATTAAGCAGCACATCTGTTTTCAGCAGCGATAATAATAATAAATGTTTCTTGAACACAAAATCAGCTTATTAGAATGATTTCTGAAGGATTTTACAATACTGTAGTTTTTACTGCATTATTTCTTAAATAAATGCAGCCCTGGTGAGCATAAGAGACTTTTAAAAATGTTTAAGTACAACCTAATTTGAATTTGCAGGTACCCCTGGTGGATCACTGGATTAAACCATAGTGAAACAGTCAAAAAAAATTGTATTCTGAGTCAATAAATGTAATGTTCTGGTAAAATGTTACATGTAGAGCATCATTCTTATTCATGACTTTATTCTATCACTTATTATGAAATGCAAATGAACATAATTAATTAGCATCAGGCCTTTAAAATGTCAGTGCCGAATGACAGCTCCGCACCAGCGGCAGCATCTTGTAAAAGTCAGTTCTTCTTGAGTGCTATTGATCTCATCGTGAGTGATCAATAGAAGAGACGAGCCAGACATCACACAGATGCTCCTCTGTATCAGTGAACTGCTTATGGGAGCAGATGTACTGGATTATATAACTTTCATTTATACAGCAATGTGCGGCTCACTACATAGTCAGTGTTTTCAATTCTGAAACGCAGCAAATATTCTTCATTACAGCTCATACTGTGCTTGCTACAGCTATATGTCCTAAGAAACATTTACTTAATTATAATCAGCTGAACAGTAATACTCACACTTTAGCTTTCTTTATTAGCTCAAGCAGAAACAGTCCTTGAAACAAAGTAAAAAAAGTGACCCTCAGTGCATTGTTAGTAAAAGCTGGTAAATATTTATACTGTTATGCAAATCAGTACCCTATAGCGCTTTTCACCAGTCTAGTACAGTATCTGACATGCAATGTAAAATATGCATATAATGCTCTTTTCCCTTGTATTGCATGTTTTTGCATATAAAAGAATAGTTTATTTCCTCATAATTTATTCAGATTTATACACTGTTAGAAACTACATCCTGTTTAATGAATGCCACCCCCCTGTGCAATGTCAGCAACTGCCATAGTCCTTATAAGAGAATATTCCTCATGGGAATAAGAGAATTCCTTATAAAAGCCAATAAATCTGATGCTGAAATTGTTAAACAGATGAGTGGAAGTGACAGTAATGATGAATCATAAAAAAAAAGAAAATAATTACTGTATGTGACTATTATTTTTTCCAACCGATTTAAGTTACAACTCAAATATGTAGCAATGTATTCTAGGATTAAAACGCTAACAACTGGCATCCCATAAGATGCGTATTACAGGGCCGGCTGATTCTGTGATGCCTTTAGACGCACAAGGAAAGTAAACAGCTGGGCTTTGGTTCAGATGCATCTATCTCTTCAGGCTGTGTATGAATAGTCATGTGAGTTTCCTTTTGAAGAATCACTGCAATAAGCCAAAATCAAAGTCATTATTGTGGGCTGACAGTGACAAAAACAACCCAGCCTGTAGTTTGTTGTAATTTCAAGTCAGTGCTTGCAGCTTTATTTACAACATTATTCAAAACAGGCTGTAAATTCTGCCATTAAACGTGACTGTGATGCAAAAGGAGTTTACATTCAGAGTGATCTGATGCATGACCACAACACCATTTAGTAATGTTTTTAAGAGTTTCAATTGATGAAATTAGACTATTTAGTAGGGGAAAGACATTAACCAAGTGAAAAACATGATTTTTGTGTTATGTCTGGTTTTATTTGGCTGAATATTCATTGCTATTTGGTAACAATAGTGAAGTTGTAATTGGATTTTAATGCATTTGAGGGCAGTCAGTCTTTTAGAGGTTTTGTTATTGTGTGAATAAGGTTTAAAGTCGGCATGAAATAAAAAAATCTGAAATGCATGTTATAGATCTTATTGTGAATGATTCAGCTATACATAATGTTTAATTTGTCACATTTTTTACCTTGTATTTATAATCAAAATGTCGTAACTCGATCTTCCAGTAAAACGTCAGACTGCTATCTGGTGATGTATGTCGGACTTTTCCAATCATTTTGTCTGCTTAAACCCCGCCCCTTTTTTACAATATACTGCAAGCTCTCATTTAAATCTGCCTCCACTTGAATGTACATCACAGTATAGAAGGAAAGATTTGCTTCTGTTATTGTGACTATATAGACTTCAGAAGCATTAACTCACTTGTCCAGCAGTATCGTACAATCCCAGTAAGTGCTGCCTGCCAGATACTGTTACATTCACTGAAAAAACGAAAACAACAGTAAAAAAGGTTTGTTACATTCATTATGCATATCAAACAGAAAAATACTGTGCAGAATATGCCTATAAAATGTGTGTTTGTCCAGCAGTGTTTCTGCTCCTGCTGTATCACATCCCTCTGATGTACTTCCAGAACTCTGGACCTGCTGTTTGGTTGTGGGTGGGAACGGAGGTTGATTTGGAACAGGACAGCTGTCAACAAGCAAGGGGTGACCGGTTTTGGAAAACAGGGAGGGAAGAGCGGTGTGTGTGCTCGCATACATATTTCATTCTGTGTTGCGGGTGATGAGGGGGAGAGAATGGCTGTGTTGACACAACCAAAAGGAAAAAAAACCCCAGACAAGTCAATCTTTTGTCATCAAACAGCACGCAATAAAAGACCACTGCTGAGAACAGGAGAACAGCTGGACTCAACATTTCACAGAGGTTTCAAACAAACCGCAGATACTAGTCCGCTGTGTGTCCACACTCTTTTCAAACTCAGTGCTCTGTTAGTGGTTTGATGAGACTGATTAAAAGAATGCGTGCTTAAAAGAAAGAGGCTGTGACGTGAAAGGTGGCCCTCACCAGATTCTTCAGGCCTCGAGCACCTTCTGAGACACCCTGAACTGAATTCAATCTTCTCAACTACATGATGGTCTGGAATACTGATGACTGGGACCATAAAAAGATTATACCAAATATTTCATAACCCATCAACTGTACTGAGCCAGATACCCATGGATGCTTCCAAAATGACCAATAACCTTCCTGTCAGAACCAAAGCACTTCCTGCAAACTATAGATCTGGCATCCTTAATGAGTTGAGAAGCTTCTGGAAAAGGAGAAGACCGCCTCTCCAACATCCCTTGAAAAAAAGCCCAGCAAAATGTTCGGAAGAAATTCACCACTGATAATTCAGATTAAACACTCCAATATAATGGCAATAAAAATATGGCAATGCAAATTTTGAGCACAGATGAACACCACTGATTAAAAAAATAATCTGATCTTTAAAATCTAGGCTCTCCAATAGGGTTCACCTTTTATCCTGCTGCTTTCAAGCTTCACAAATAACAAAAAAAGCACCATAAAAGAGCGCTAGGGTCCATACAACTTGTGTGCTAGATTCCCGGTCCACTGAAGTCATATTATAGCTTTGTGTGAATATCAATGTCTAATTCATGAACAAACTGTTAAGAGTCAGATTTTTTAAACGAATCAGCTGATTCAATTTACGAAACCATTCTGATTATACCAGATCCTCTTTCAAGGAAAATACGTTTACTTTGCAGCCATATTTGCAACTCTTCTAGGCAGCTATTTTGGGCATTCAAGACAAACTCCTATCTGCTTGAATGGAGAAATCTTCAAAACTGCTGGCAAAACTCTAAAGCCCGGTTCAGACTACATGATTTAAGCCCGATTTTGACTCGATCTGCTTGACGTAGGGTGTCATGTGGATTCGTAAAAGACAATGGGCGTCGGGACACAAGATTCAGTCGTTTCATCTCCTGTAGTGTGTCATAGTGCACGACAACCGATACCACGTCTGTGAGGCTTCACGACTTCAACACAGAAAGACTAGCATGTTCAATTTTTTTTCCCGTCATCCACGATGAGTTCCGTCACATTTGTGATACAGGCCCATAGGAGCACAGAAGTGCCTTCATACATGCTTTCAAACAAGCCGAAACAAAAGAGAGACAATGGGTATCGGTCCTTTCTCAAGGGATTACCGCGACAGAGTGAAAAGTAAAGTAAAAACTATTTTACCTCGGTTCTCTTAGAAAGTCCTCTTCATGCAATCCAGATTTGTGTCCACTGTCGGGTTTTCTTTCTTTTTTGGGATTTTCTGATGACAAGACAGGGCAGAACATGCTGTTTGCTAGCCATTGTTTGTTTACGCTCATGTCACCATCTAGTCCCGCGCTATTGATGACAGCAAGCATGTTGTTAAAGACGGCAAGCGGAGAATGATCGGGTAGCAACGTGTAGTCTGACATGTTTCTTGTTCACGACACGACAAGATTTTAGAAGTAAAAATCGTATAATCTGCCACAGTGACTGTCGTAACCGACAAAAAAAATAATGTAGTCTGAACCGTGCTTCAAATTTGCGATGCAGTTCTTGAATCAACTCACTGATTCGACAATCCAGTTCCAGCGATTAACAGCTCACTTGAGGGGTTGATTTTCATGGAATATGAAGTACAATTTTTATTTGATTCTCACCATCATATGATTTCAAAACACTAAGAATATACTACAAGTCATATGGACCACTTTTATGATAATTTTATAGTGTTCTGTTGACTTTTTAAATATCTTTTTTGATAATATTTCATTATGAGAAAAGTTTTTTTTATTGTTCCCCAAACAACAAACATTTTTGAAACTATGCTGAATGCATAATTTGAATAGTTCTAGTTAGTCACAAAAACTAAAACCCTAAAGCAGTTCTTACGCTAGCTTAACTGTTTCACTTGAAAAGGCATAATGTTTGTTTCATAAATTATGATTGCAAAAAGGGTCTGTGCGGCCCTTTTAAAATTCAAATGAAATTTTCAATCATATCTTACACCGCTTTAAGCGATTGCTAATCTCAATGCAAATTTTAATAATCATGTGCTCAGCACTGTGGACAAGAGACAAATACAAAGCAGCACTAGCTCTAATGCCCCTAACTTAGCCATATGGAGGTACAGGGGGTCACTGAGGAGCCGCGTGAACTGTGGTGTCTTTCTGAAAGGCATTGCAGCTGTAGGAAACCAGCCAAGCGGTGTTTTGATTAGATGTGCTTAGAAGTTCTTTCCCTGTAGACTATGAAGATGGACCAGAAACAGTGGCCTTGAGTCTGTTGCTGTGTATCAGCTGTTCCTGACAGGTCCTTTTACCAGCACGATTCTTTTCCCCTCTTGGGGCTGGGCTAAATAAGGAGTCTAATCTTTTCCTCACTTACTGATTCTCTGACTTTTTTTTTTTTGCCTATAAATACAAAGCCACTAGTACAAAAACAAGGCTGGGGTGATGTGAGGTGAAAGTTTGAGAGAAGTAGAGAAATTCAAGTCTGTAGGGATGGAGAAGGTTTGGTGGCTGTGAATCAGGCTCTCAGCTGTTCTCTCCAGTCAGCTGCTTTTCCCCATGAGGCTCGAGCTTTCTGTAAACCCCAGCCCCCATTCTGTGGCCTGGAGAGAAATCAATGTTGTGTTACAGTCTCACTCAAGCAAGCCTGACCCACTGTTGTGAAACGTGATTTGGGGCATCAGAAGCCCACACGCCCCTCCAGACCTCAACATTCTTCATTCCTCTTTTCTCTTTCACAGACTGGCCTGTGACATTGATTCAGCCAATATATCTGCATTCAGTGAGCTTTAGCCTATAAGAACAGTACAGCGAATTGTATAGATACTCACATGGTAATAGCAAGAGACTGCAAATTTAATTTAGACACTTTCCATTCCATCACCAGGGCATTAGGTCTCAAGTGATAACCATCTATTGTAGACGCTTTCACTGCTCTCTCACAATTGACACCCATTTTTCAATGGTGGACTGTTGTCCACCATCCATTCCCATAAAATTGTCTTTTAGCAATAAATATATTGGCATCTTAGATCTGGTACTGGTAATCGGTGCATTGTGCACCATTCAGAGTGCAATTGTCACAACTGTTTTATGTCAGTAAATTGGCCAATGCCACCACTCAATTCAACCTTTACATCAACATGCCAAATATATCCACTATGCTCTTGCAGAGTTGTGATCCATAAATTGGTTTCTGTTTTTTGAGTTGGTGGCATTCCTGAAGTGTGATTTTTTATTTATTATTTTTTTTTTGTTTGTACCACTAGTGTTTCTTTAAAGGCATTGGTGGGTCAATCTGCAGAATAAGCCACTGGGTTTTATCCTCTTTTCAATTCCTGTTGCTGCAGCACTGTGCTTGCCAGAGGGAAGTGTACATAATCTACATACACATTTTGCATAGCATAACTAAAAAAGACATTAATGTGATTAATCTTGTATTCTGAAGCCAAAATAATCTGTAATGCCCTTACACAGCACTTGCTATAAGATTGAGCTTTTGCTTGTCAGTGAACGTTTTGTCACAGTACTTCCACTCAGCAAAACATGAAATGAGCTCAACCACTCCACTAATTATGCATTTTCATTTAATTACTTATTAGGAACTCTTTCTAGGTTTCTATGAGCCACTTCTCTTTAAGGTCTTACTCAAAAATATTTAGCTACATTTATATTACTTGAAGGGACAGTTCACCCAAAAATGGAAATTCTGTCATAATTTACTCACCCTCATGTCAGTACTATTATGTTTTGGACCTATATTATCTAGAACAAATTCAAGTGAGCTTTAGCTGTAACCACGTAAATAGAGTGGGGGAACTAACCAGAAGAGTAATTTTTAAATGTATGAGTAAAATAAAGCCTGTGGTAAACATAAGGTGACGATACTTTGACGTTTTGTTCTACACCCCAAACATTCTTATCTAGTTACTTATAAAAACATATGTTTTAAAAAATAAACATAACTGCTTAAAAATTTGTGTTTTGGGTATGGATGTGTGTAATTTAGAACAAAATGTCAAAGTATCGTCAAATTATGTTTACTACAGGCTTTTTTATGTTTACCAGCAACTTTTACTCATAGTTCAAAAGAAGGTTTACTTCCTTCAACCACTCCATTAGACACAACTTTTATTCTTTCCACCAACTAACCACTAACTAAATCTGGCGTGTTGATACCACTAACCATCACACCACATGCACAGGATTACGGGATATCACCAGTAGCAAAGAATAAAATATCTTCAAAACCAGAACAAAACTCAACAGAAATTATCTGGGTGTTTCTGGTTTCCTTTATTGGTATTCATTTAAATATATAATTATTATTGATATCAGTGTTAATAAACACAATCTAACTGATAGGCTATTGTTTTATTATAGCTCAGAATATTATTGCTCATGGTGATCTTTCAAATCAAAACCCTGTGCTTTACAGATCTGCCAAATCAAGGAGAGATCAAATCAAATGGAAAATGTAGTGGAAAGATAATGAAAAAAAAAAACAATAGGTGTTAAATTAGCAATCTGTGCCGATACAACACCAGCTGTGGTGAATGGAGCGTTGCAGCACAAAGAGTTACCATTAGCTATGGCATAGATGAGTGTTTAAATTTGAAAAGTGCTACTTCCCAGCCTGTCCCTAACTAAAATGAACTATAGCTTTCCAGCTGTAGGTATTTTAATATTGAGCACGTGGCAATATCCACAATTCAGTATCACTGGTGGATTAGTTGGTTTTGTTAGGAGTGTGGGAGCCACACTAGACGATGACTCATCTCAAACGCATTAACAGGCACTGTGTCATGGACCGGGAATGTCATTGGTTTGTTTTGGACAAGAGAATTCAGATCCTGTGGGATTTATGGACGGAAACCATAGTCCCAGATACTGTTGGGTTGAGCTCTAGCTCTCGTAGATTGCAATCACAATGGTTCTGGTGAAAAGAATATAATTTTAGTTCAATCACTCATAATGATCACAGACATAATTGGAAAAGTAAAATTATACGATATTACCTTTCTACACTCTAAAAAATGCTGGGTTAAATACAACCCAGTGCTGGGTAAAATAGGGACAAACCCAGCAATTGGGTTCTGTGATCATTATGAGTGATTGAACTAAAATTACATTCTTAATTAAAAGAGTGTAATGTACACTACCAAAGTTTTGGGTCAGTAGTTTTTTTAGTCTATTAAACAATATAAATATATCTCCAAATAGCTGCTGCTTGGATTGCTCAGTTCACCATTTAACTTAGGGCTGGACAATAATTCAATATAAATATGTATCGCGATATAATTTTTTTCAATAACGGTGATATGATTTTTTAACACATTTCCAATATTTTATCTGAAATAAAAAGCTTCTGTAACATTATACACTAGTCCATTCAGTATAATTTTTATAAATTTGTTGGGAAAGAAATTATAGAAATTAATAATTTTATTTAACAAGGATGCTTAAAATTGATCAAAAGTGATGATAAAGGCATTTATAATGTTACAAAAGATTTTTATTTCAGATAAATAGTGTTCATATTGATATCGGAATTATATCGTATCGACCGAAATTAAGAAATATACCGTGATATAAATTTTGGACATATCGTCCAGCCCTAATTTAACTACACATTTTGAAAAAGCTGCTTATTTATTAATTATATGTTCACTTATAATTCAATTACCATATTCCCAGTGCTTCCTATATTGCAAACTGTTCCATTACTGCTGAGGCATGAATGAATTTCATAGTTTTTCATTTAAGACCAATTCTAGCATAGCAACACAGTAAAGCTTTCAGTGGCCTACAATGGCAGCTCTGTGCTCTTTATCCTGCACATTAAGCCACTATGTGACAATTCGCTACTTTATTATGATGCTTTGTCAAGGCCTCTCTCCAGGGGCCTAATATGAATGTAAGTGATTGATTGGCCCTGGAAGAATATTGTCTCTCTTCTCTCTCAATTTTTCATTCTGTACTACTCTGTCTATACTTTCATGACATGTACTGTAAATGACGGCAGTCCACCTCTAAATGGTGCTTAGGCACTTCTAACTTTTACATAGCATGACTTAAATTTGAATTCACATCTGTTTGCCAGCACACTATAAAGGAACCAAATAAAAATGCCTTTATGTGTCTGCTATTCTTTATGAGCACGGTTTCATTTCCTTAAAGGTGAAGTGTGTTGTTTATGCACAACTAATGTCACCAAAATGAATTGTAAAAATTGAAACAGGTTTCCAAAACACTCTCACTGTTGGATTCTGGTTTAGATTCTTAAAAGTCTTGTGGCAAACTTAAAGTTGTCTTGGCAGGAGAAAGTATTTAAACATTAAAAATAAAATCATCACAGCTGTAAAAATCACAAGGTTAAAGTCTGCTCAGTCAAGCCTTTAATTTTTAAAGGCCTATTTTTTTTATTACAAAAAAAGTGCCTGCATTCAAACTTTTGTTCTGTGACATCCATTTAGTGTCCTCTGGATGGCCTCACTCGTCAGCTTAATTCAACTGCAAGAGTTGACCGAGAATCACACTCCCTGAAGATCTTTCCATCTCATTCAACTCCCAAGAGTTTAAAAGTTTTACTCACTCCTTGAATGAGTTCAGTCTGTGTGTTTGTCCTGAGCCTGCACTGGCCAGCTGGACGAAATTACAAAACAGGATACTATTAAAATCTCATAAAAAGAAAAAGAGTTCTTCTTTTTGGCACAACCCAGATAAACATGCCTCATTTGATCATGGCACATTAGAGCGAAATGTGCAATAGAAAATCCTTTGACAATACCTGCTTTAAGGTTCTTAAGCTATAAAAAAACACTTTCACAAATGAGAGCCAAAAAGATTGGGGCTAAACTGAAATTTTTTTTCATTCATGTTTCATAGTAATTCACAAGCTTTTTCTCTCCAGCCCTGGAAATATGTGAATCACTCAGTCCTTGTGGTATCATTAATCATCTAAAGACGCTGAATAAGAGATCTTGCTTCAAAATGCAAATAGTGTAAATATGAAATGACAGCAACTCACTCCACTGCTTTTCCAACTTTTCCACTGCTAATAACGTCAATTGAAAAGACCTGTATTGCATTTGGAAGATTGCATTAGATTAGAATGATTGCAGACATCTACTTTTGTAGCACTCCTTATATTAGTGTCATTTTGAATTTTTCATCTTAGAATTTGTTTATAGTTGTGAAAACTGATAATAAGAGATCTTAGCTACATCCGAAGTCACATACTGTCTAATAGGTGCTATAAACATACTTTCCGACTGTTAAAAAGTGTGTTTTTTTAATATAGTATGAATATGGGAGGTATGAATAAACGTACTATTATTCGCTATGTTATTACTGTCACGTGACCTACCAGTGTCAGTTGCGTCCCTTCACTGCCACTTAAAAATCCTCTTCTGTGGCCTCATGGGATAGTAAAGTGTCTCTGTGGATGTTGTAAGTCAGGTACTTTTTGCCTCCCGTTCTTTTTTGAATACTATGAATTCAGATACACTGCTTTTTTCATGTACTGTCTTTCACCTACTACATAGTATGGAAGTAGGCATATGGACACAGGGCTTGTTTGTAATTTTTCTTCCTACAAGTTCTTTTAAGAAGAACTCATTTGTGAGGGAAGTGTCCTGCTGTTTCCAGAGGATGTTGAAGCTGACCTGTCTGCCACTGTGTAATTAGGATTTGACCCTCATAGGATTCTGGGAGCATGTGTCATAGGGGGCTTTCCCCTGATGAGAAACCAAAGCCTTTATGCATTCATACATATCATACAGTCATTCATACATATCATACAGTCAGAGAGAACAAGAAAAAACTTAATGGATGACAACACATTTGTAACCATAAACCACAGTGGTTCTACAAAGCTATAATGCCTACAGTACAGTAGGCTACTGACAACGCGTTTAGATTGCGTCTGTTACTGTGATCAACAGGTTGCGGCTCTCGCGAGCTCTGACTCACTGATGCGCAGCTTGTTGCTATTTACATTATTTAATATTTACCTCTTGCGCCACATAAATTGTCTTTTGACGTCCCTAGAACAGTAAGGTAATGGCCAACGACCTTTTTTAAACACTTGTTTTAGTATTTTTGTTCAACTATTGTTGAATAATGAAACTGATACTGATTCGGAAGCAAAGCTTTCAGGAACGTTGTTGCTATGGTTGCATATTTAGTCCAAGCAACTTCTGTTTACAAAGCGATTTAAATTTAGTTGAAAACACATTGATGAAATGTGTAGGCTATATTTAATTTAAATGCAGGTAAGCTACACCCGTTTGAAATTCATTAAGTAGCCTACAATATATAATTTTTTATTAACCCTACATTAGAGGGCTCTGATCCCCAAACTATATGTTTCTACTTTTTAGTATCGGGCCTCAGTCCTCGCTCTGGCAGTTGATATATCCTCTTTCAGATGGCTATTCTTGGGACCGTCCCCTACCCGACTGTAGTGGGGGGCGGTAGACAAGGATTAGATAGACATAAACTGCACTTCATAAACAGGGAATTCAATTGAATGCTTTGAGCTGGAAATCGTCTTACCTGCATAGTGATCGAATACAGTTGGTACATATTCCTCGGGAAAAGCATCGTTTGCGTAACTCATCAGCAAACAGGTTTTGCCCACAGCTCCATCGCCGACCACAACACATTTCAACATCTTTTTGGCCGCAGTATCGAGAGGATCGCTGCTACTGCCTCCATCCTCAACCGCTTCCACTACATTCTGCCTACTTTTCGAGCCGAGAGTAGGCATGATAGTTGGACAAGTCCAGAAACTATATCCTCCACAGGTAGTCAAGTCTTCGGTCGACTAGAAATTCCAATCTTTAAGACGTTAGTCTTCGTGTGACCAGTTGAAACACTCGAGTTGGCGTGTCGTACGGTGCGCAGGCAAATCCGTCAAGTGACCCACGCTTTAGCTCGCGCTTCCAAAACAATCTCTCGCCATCGACAGCAGTTTCAATAAAACTCACTATAACTCCTACAACTTGCATTCCGATATTTTACATTTTCCTGATCTGACGACGACACCGTTTCAAAAACAGTGGCCGTGGTTTCGGTTTAATTCCTTCATACTCCAAACAGCTTTCCACCTTCGCCCCTACGCGGCTACGCATCGTCAGTGTCAGGAAATCATTGGTTTCCTAGCGAATTCCATATTAGGCAGGGGTGGGCTGGGAACAATAGGGGCTCTGTCCACAGCCTACTCAGACAGGGACTTCAGCGGCACAGGAGGGGCGGGATGACGTCCCGAATCTAACTGCGTTTCCTAAAATATGGCGCCACAGGGAAGGATGGCAGGAGGTGGATTTTCATTCACTTTCTTTCTTTCTTTCTTTCTTTCTTTCTGAATTGAATTTCCTGATTGATAATTCAATCATTTTGACTTTCAGTAATTTATCTAGCCTGTAGTTTTTTTTCTTATTAATTTATTCAGTGTTCATTTATTCATATTTTTTTTCCCGAAGGCTTTATGATGAAATACACTCAGGTTTCATCTTAAATGTGTTGAATGAACATAACACGTTTTATGAAATATCCACGATGAATACTGACGTGGTACCATCATATTGACGTAATTAAAAGCACTCTGCATCCCGGTGTAATCAAGATATGCCGCATAAACCTTCCGTAAATTCATGGATTATAACCCTATCCCTTAGTAACTCACTTGAACTGTTACATTTATTTTTTTTGCTCACTTAAGATGACATTCCCATCATCTACAGTAACTCTTGAGTTTCCATGTAACTAATTCGCGCGCAAAAGGCACCATCTGTTGCATGTGACTATCTCCATGGCACCGGGCATCGCGCTCGAGATTCCTGTGCCAGTCAATTTTTATTGTTACAGTTCGCCAGTGCGCAGGCGCAAAACAGGGGAGCGCAGAGCCTGCAGAACTGCGAGCGCTCCGTGGTACAAAGGACCCATATCAGTCAGGCACGGCGCAGCGTTACCATGATCTTCTCCATCCCACCGATAGATTGCCATCCCGCCTGCATCACTTTAACGACCAGCTTCCAGCAAGTCCGCAAGCCTGACCGACGCTGCCCGGCCGCAGAATGCACGGGGGAAAAAGAGGACTGGTGGCACCACAGAACACTTTTTTGGAAAATATTGTTCGTCTCTCAAGTGGTAAGATGATCGCTTTCTTCAGATTGCAGTAGCTGATAAAGCAAAGGGGAAAGTCTTATGATGTGTTAAGACATGTTTCAATTCTCTCTCTCTTTCTTCTTTCTAGCTTTAATAATGCGTAGAATTATGCGTAAAAGTGGAGCTCGTGAGTTCCTTTCCATAAATATGGAACATTTTTTACTAATCAAAGTAAGATTAAATATCTAGATCTGACGCGCCTCAAGTCATTTTTATAAAGTCTTCTTTATTGAGTGCTTAATAAAACATATTAAAACCGAGAGCTACAAAACGGAAAAACAGCCGTGAGCTAAACATGACCGTACCATTACCATAATAATAGTAATTAAACACAGTTAACAACACATCGCTCGATCGCATCTCAAAACATTACCTTTACTATTGCTATCCATTATCAGCATTAATGTATTAATGCATCAGTAAGACTTGATTATTATATGGCATCAACTTCCCAGTGCCTACACTCGGGATGAATCTCACGCGGGGAAACATTTATTTGCGTCACGCTTGTAAAAAATGCGTTTTTTTCTTTTTGTTTTGGAGTCACACAAGGAACCATTTCGTCGCACAACAAACCTTTCTTGCTTACTTGAGTTAAACTTTAAACCAAACATTTAATCTGATACTTCAAGTTTATTATGGTTAAATTGATGTGTGATTTATAAATTATTATTTTGTATATATTTTTAATTTATTTATGCTGTGTAATCACTTTTTTTTAACCATTTATATTATTATTAGTAGTAGTAGTAGTAGCAATAGTAATAGTATTAGTATTAGTTGTATTATTATTACTATTAACCAAAGAGTCAAAGAGGCTCTAGAATCATCAGTTTATCTGCATGTTCAATTCTCAGTTGTTTGTATCATCAAATTATTTTTGATCATAGCAAAAGTTAATTTAAAGGTGATGCAGTTTTTCTTGGCTGTTTTGCTGTGGATCTTCTCATGTGTGGAAGGCTTGTTGCCTGTGGTGTGAATTGCAGAGTCATTTTGTGTCACATACAGTTTCCGTGTGAATCTGCCACATGCAGGTTCCGTATGAGTTTGTGTTAAAGGACCTCACCAGCAGAGGTCACACATGATTACTGCAACAAAAGCTGTTAATATCTCTTCACTCTATTTCACATAACACAAACTTAAAAGTTAAAGACATAGATTTGGGTGTTGTTGTGTATACATTTAGACCAGACAGTTGTTTCTAATGAACTATGTGTGTGTGTGAGTGTTTTTTTTTATGTGGTACCCTCTCATAATACCATGCCCTGACATTTGCCGTGGGCAGCTCTCTGACCTCCGAGGGTCTCTGAATCTTCCACACACTCTTTTCTAAATCTGACGCAGAGCTTGCATCTTTTGAGAGGAAGGCTCCACATTATTTTCATTGTAGTAACGAGATACTGATATTTGTATTCGTTGAGCTCTTTTGTCACTGTGATCATTGTTTGATGTTTAAGCGATGCAGTGAGTGGAGGAATTTCGAATTTTAGTGCAGATAAAGTTGTTCAGCAGATCTCATATTGTTTCTGTACATCCTCCCCTCATCCCATTACAAATTAAAACTTGCTGACTGAATCTGAATGGGCTGGATAATTGATTCTTGCATTTAAATTAACATTTATTTCCTTGTCATAGGCTTTTTAAATAACTAATTTACAAGGAAGTTCATGCATTCTGTATCTGGATGAATGAACACTTTTACAGCCGTCAGTACAAGGCACAAGTCAAAGACAAAGTCAGGAAGAGTCAGTATTGCGTGTCAAGAATAGAAATGAGAGGTTGCATGTAATTAAAAGGCAAGGCTAGTGTCTTCTTCCTTACCACAGTTTCACTAAGGTACATTTAAAAATGTATCTAAAGCCTGTGCTGATATGCTGCCAATGAGCTGCCAGCTCCAACTGAGGCTACATGCTGATGGTGATACAAATGTAAATTTGGGAGTGAAGAATAGAGAACGTATTGATGATGAACATGCCAAAATTCTCCTTGTGGAACATTTTAGAATTGTAGAGCTGGTAATTATTTACAATCTGATTATGCAGCTATAATAACAAGCCAATAGTGTGCAGGTGGTAAATAAAGGAAGTGAGCACTGTGTGATTTATGGGATAAATTGGAGAGAGTTTGGAAGGATCTCAGTTGGATTCTAGAAGGGAAGTTGAGGTCTTTTATGTTGTCTTTATGAAGTTAGTAGGATAGTGAGGTATCAAAAGAATATTTTCAGAAAGATGAGACATGGTTTGATTTGACTACAAAAAAAGAAAAGAAAAAAAAACACCACTACCTTCGTAATTTTAGTTGAAACCCCAAAACACCATGCACTTGGCAGCAAAGTTGAACCGGGTGTAATAAGCCAACCTATCAAAACTCTGAATTATTGTCAATTATTATGTAATAGCCAATAATTATCCAATCTCTGAGCATAATTCTGGCAAGATTTTAAATTGTTCAAGCAATTTATTTTTCATATACCTCTTATATCGTCATACGCAGCATGTCCACCTCAAAATAATGAAGCCTTTCACGAGTGCAGCTGTCAAAATGATGTAGGTGTTTCTGAGGCTTTGTGTCTCTGTCCCTCATTTACAACCCAACACCTCCCTGTAGGTCTTCTCCTTTGTTTGCGGACAGAAGAGTTTGTTTGAGTTTTTCCAGCCCACTTAGGGGAATCGAGAAACACAGCTGGGGGGTAAACAAAGTCAACTTTCATAAAGCTTTTTACCTTTACATATCATTGTTAGAACAGCAAAAGCAGTGCATATTTCCCTCCAATTTTCTTATGTAAGTAGAAAAACAACTGTGCTGAGCTTTAATGTGCTGGAGAAGCTTTTTGTAGCCAGCTTGATGTTTGGCTAATCAATGACAGCAGGGTTCTCACTGACTGGGAAATTAAATGATTTCAAAAGCACTTTTTGATATTGAGGACAATTATACTGTACCAGCATTTAAGGCTGACAGTTCTGAGGATAAAATCGATAAAGTAGAGTTTGTGTGGTAAAATGAAACTTTTAAGAGAACCACACATCACAATAGTACAAAAATACCGTTAAGGAGATCATAAGACTAGTGCCAGAGAGAAAAAAAAATAACAGAAAAGCATGTGAGGAGATATGAATGCAGATTAGAAAGCCACAGATGTAATGGAAGTGCTATCTTACGTCAACCACAGTTTACAAGAACAGAGAGCTGGTTGCGTTTTGTGTTCACTAGCAAAGGGGACCAGTATCTGATTTGTATCTAAACTGAAAATAGTCAGTTTTTCTAACATGCTTAGGTTCCATAATGGCCAACAGAAAATTTCACAAATATCACAGGTACTAAGAATGGTGTACTCTGTGTAAATATAGGTTTATCTTAATAGGATCTGTTTCTTCTTCCACTTTCCCTGTAGTCACCCTTTCACCGAGGAGCAGGTGCACCAACATACTTCCACGTAGACAGTGCAAGAACACATACAATGCCATAGTATCACATACACAGAAAAAAATTTAATGCATTATGTTAATGGTTCCAAAAATAGAATGTTTGTGCTTGTTCAATGTCATTACTTCTCACTGCAGTGACCGCCAGAAGTAACATGCAGATGAGTGCAGGAAAGACACTTTGTACCTCCTAATGGCACCAGACCTAAGGGAGCATTTAAATGGGGATTTGTTTGTAACAGACTCCAGTTGCACCTCCATCTTCTTTTCTAACCTAGAAGATTGGTAGAACGTCTCTGACAGCCTCCTCAGAAAGTTCAGGCTTCTCTGGTCTTTCTGCTACAGCATTGCTGTGTTGTCAATCCAGTCCAGTCTGCTGTTTGATGGATTTCCATGTATTTGTGGGTTTGTACCATCTCCGTGTTTCCATCCTGGATAGCTGTATGAAAATGTTTTCGATTTCTCTTATCTTTATTGCTGATGGAGACTACAGTGAATTAGCATACGTCTAAAACTAAAAAAAGGTTAAAGAAATAGTAGAACAAACAAACAAAAACCCAAACAAAATGCTATTCCAAACTTTCAGAACCAAAAAGGCCAAAAAGCAGCATACA